ATCAAGAAAGTATTGTTCTTCAATAGGGCATTCAAACAGGACTGGATTTACTTACATAAGGAGTGGGGTGGAGGGGTTACTGATCAGCTGTTTTATATCAGTATGTTATATATTAATTTTGTCAATTGTGCTAGCATAAAACGTGTTTAAATTATCAACATCTGTCTGTTGATTCACTGAATGTTTTAGATTTTTAGTGATAAAAATAGATTCAATGATTCTACGTTTCCCAATATTTTGTTCTCTATGCAACACGGAAGCAACTATCATTATTTTCATAAAAATAACGATAATTACTTTGGAAAAAAAGAAAGAAACTAACTACCTGTATGAAATGGTGTCTAAGTGATTCCTAAAGCCCTTTTAAATGTAATTGCACAAACATTAATACTTTAAGAGATACTTTTTTAATATTTTTTAAGATAATACATGGCTATGTTTTACCATTTTGGGGGGGCTTCAGCCCGAAAGCCCCCCCCGTAGATCCGCCCGTGAAAGGATAGATCAGCTTCGTACCTCCTACATAAGTTTTGCTGACGTTTGCGATGCAAGGTTATATTTTTATGAATGAAGTTTAGAATTGTTTTACGGTTACTTTGACTGTATTAATATTTATGTTGATATGAAATACTGAACTTTATAGACAAATAAATTGCAATTAAATCTTCTTTAATTAGAGTATGATTATTATTTCCTTCATAAAACCATGATTGTATATATATGTTTTTTTTTGATTTTCTAGAAAATAAAATTTAAAAAAAAAATTTAGATTTTATTCAGTATAAAATAAAATATAAGAAACCATATCCATTATTTCCTTAATAAAACTTTTTTTATAAATATGTATTTTTTAAAATGTGATGTAAAAGAAAACTAAACAGAAATTTTTACCGTCAATTTTATCGAGCATAAAATAAAATACGAGAAAGTATATCCATTATTTCCTTCGTAATTATTATTTCCTTCATAAAACTGCAATCGTAAATATATTCTAGATAAATTGAATTTTTTTTTAAATTATTACCGTAATTTAAAAAATTATTTTCGATATTTAATCGAGTAAAGTAATTAATTGAAAAATTAACTAGTATTCATAATGAACCCATCTTAAATAATGAAAAAAAAAATATATTTTTTCAGTGGTCCACATTTATTTTGTGCGAGATATAATTGTAAGATAAATACTGAAACAATCATAATCTATTATTTTTTTATATTATAATGGATATCTCTAAAAGCATCAATGCCCCAATAATTAATTTTTATTAACTTTCCAGAACCACTAACATCCTTTCATAAAAGTAGTTGTTTTGTTTTTAGAAAAAAGAAAATAAATTAGTCCTTCCCCCAAATTAAATCTAGGATCTACTAATGAATCCTTATGAAGAGTACTTTAAGAAGTTTATTTAGCTATTTTGATTTTTATATAACGTGTTCAATAGTTTATAAAAATATATAAACTTTTTTATATATTTTATTAAGCTAATTTTACTTCTTGAACAATTAACTTTAAAAAAAAGTAATGTAAAAAGGATTTAAAATATATGAATGGGGGTAAAAATAAGAAATTCTGATCTAATTTTACTATAAAAAAAAACAATAACACTGGGCTTAGAATAGTACGAGTTATGAATGAACAAGCGTACGAGGATGTACGAGGCTTTTGTTCGAGGTTTTGTCACAGAGCGCGCGGTAACACTGGTTATGTTTGTTATAATGTGTTATAATACTGTAACACATTTAAATTTATGATTATCATGGGAGACACCATACATTTATTTACATTTGCAGAACCAACAGGCATGCTTTTAACTTATGGCGAGGTACATAGAAACGGTACTGCTTCTGTTCGAAGATATCGTGAAAAATTTCCTGACTGAAAAATACCAAATCGTAAGACGTTTGAGACCATTGAAAGACTCCTTAGGGATAATGGCACGCTAAAATCTATACGAGTAAATGCCGGTCGACAAAGATTTCGACGAACTGCAATCGTTGAAGAAGAGATATTCGCAATAATAAATAAATAGTAATAATAAATAATAATCTTTAACCTTTGATACCTGTTTAATAAATGATTTTGAGATATATGTTAATATGAACCTTTTTTGTTTATTTTGTGTTAGTGAAAACATACCTAAATTAAAGTAACTCTGTATATTATTTATTTAACAATGGCCCCTCCATATCCACATTCAAATCCCTCCTATTCCAATTCCTTTCACAAAAACAGTCAGATACTTGCTAACCATTCGAGCGGATTTTAATAGAGAATTTGATACATTTTTATTTTTTAATTCTTTATTTTTTTCGGAAAAGTGTATACTGGTCTATAAGAGCAAATAGCTTTAAGTGTCTTGTCATAGTATTAATGGTTTTGTATATAGTTTAGTTTGTTTTGTATATAGAATTTTTACCTTATATTTTTTTTACATTATTTCTTTTTTTCGATTGATTTTATTTTGGCCAGATGTAATATTTTAATTTTGTTCTATTTTGTTATTCTCAAGGGACTGTGTCCCAGAATAAAGTTATTTTTCTATCTATGTTTCTATCTATCTATAACGATAATATCTTTGGGAAAAAAAAAGAAGATGCTTTCTACCTATATGAAATGGTGTTTAAGTTATTCTTGAAGTCCAATTAAATGTAATTAGACAAACAATAACACTTTAAGAGATAATTTTTTAAAAATTTTTACATGAAACATGGTTACATTTTACCATTGTGGGGGGACTTCAGATCGAAAGCCCTCCCGTGGATCCGGCTGTGCCATAACTAGAGACCGGATTTCCATGTTATTGCACTTTTTATTAGCTTGCGTGTAAAAATTCAAGACTTGAATATCTATCCGTTTCAGAACCTGTAGAATAACATATTTAAATTTTATATTGCACGAAATTGCATGTTTTTGGCTTAAATTGCACGCATATATTCACGGCTGTAAAAGTCAATACTGCATTGTTGACGTTTATCAAAATGAACGTTTGAAAATACGTAGAACCGGACTGAAACGACAAGAAACCGCTCGACGATTACGATTGCTTCAGCACTTACTAGACAAACGCTCCAAGCTTCCAATTAATTACAAAAGACTCATATATATGACTATAATAAGGCCTATTTGGACTTAATGAGTTGAGCTTTAGGGCTCCACTAAACCATCGAATTCCTCTCGCATCCAATCTTTACATCCAAAATCCTTCGTAAAATCCTCAATGCTCCTTACTTTGTCACTAATAAAATTATCCATAAAAATCTTTATGTTCCTTATGTTTCAGATCTGGTCCAATACAGATACGTATCCTTCCATAATAAACTTCAGAATCATCCGAACTCTCTCGTTTCTAACCTTGCTTCCTCTTCTATTCCTGCTAACCCTCCGAGGCGTCTGAAAAGAAGATGGCCCCATGATCTCCTTTCTAATGTAGACATATCATTAGAGTGCTACCATTGGGTAGTTACTAAGCAAGTGTTTTCATGTCATTATATCCATTATGTTCAAATTTACTAGATGTATTTATATAATATAGTTGTAAATATCATTAAGAAATAATAAAAAAAAAAAATTACAGAAGTGAATAGAAATATTTCCAAGCAACCTTCTTAATGAATAGTCTTATTTATTAAAAAATACATATTTACTATATTTATAATTTTATTTTTGTAAATAATACTATATTATTCGTTTTACAATATGTTATGTTAATTATGTTACAATGTATTATGTTATGTTAATTAGCATTCGTAATGTTTGTGAGTAATATAAATTCCCGAGCCTTTGTATTTACACTTGTAAAAGTGAATACGATAGTATTCACGTTTATTAAAATTAATAGGGTTAAATTTACAGAAGTGAATGCAAATATTTTCACACAAACTTATTAATGAATACTCTTATTTATTAAAAAAAATATATACATTTACTAAAAAAATATATTTACTATTTATTCCATTTTATTTTTTTATATTGTATTATATTCTTCGTTTTACAATTTGTTATGTAAATTATCACTCGTAATGTTTGTACGTAACATAAATTCCCAAACCATTTTTTTTTTTATCCATCGCCCCATCAAATTGTAAAATAAATTAAGATTAACATAAATTGTTGTAAAATAAATTGTTAATTAAAAAATATAACTTTAATGAATTGTTATCTTTTTCCAAGTTTTCAGCTGTCTATAAAAAACAGTTGAGTGCAGAAAGAGCATCAGTTTTAAAATTTTAAATTTTTCTGAGCCTGATTTATGTCAAAATTAGGTATTTTTTGTATGGCAGCAACATAAATGCATGTTATGATAGAGGGGAAAAAAGGTACAAATATTTGAAAATTTGGAGGAGTTATGACATTTTTTCTCTCTTCTGAAAAGTTTGAAATTTGTGACTGAAGCGGTTGCTGCACTCACCGATTCAATTTCTGTATATAGCCGTATATATAGTAAATATATATATATATATATATATTTAATAGAGAAGGGTATTCATTAATAAGATTGTGTGAAAATATTTGCATTTACTTCTGTAAATTTAAGCATATTCATTTTAATAAACGTGAATACTGCCCGTATTCACTTTTACAACTGTAAATACAAAGTCTCGGTAATTTACATTACTTACAAACATTACGAGTGCTAATTAACATAACATAATACATTGTAACATAATTAACATAACATATTATAAAACGAAGAATGTAGTATTATTTACAAAAATAAAATTATAAATATAGTAAATATATTTTTTTTAATAAATAAGATTGTTCATTAACAAGGTTGCTTGGAAATATTTCAATTCAATTCTGTAAATTTAAGCGTATTCATTATGATAAACGTCGATAATGCCGTATTCACTTTTACTAGTGTAAATACGGCCGTATTCAGTTTTACAATCGTGAATACGGGCGTATTTCGTGACTTTATTATTATTTAAAAAAAAAATAGTAAGGAAATGATTTACTTTTCTAGTGAATAAATAAAAAATAAAAACCTATAACTGACCTGGATAAGAGTCTATTCCACAGAAGGTGTTGGCTTGAATGAGCTTAGGGGTGGACAAGTCCATGCCGCCGCTGATCTCCACAAAATCTTTAAGTCCCGTTTCCTCACACTGCAATGCAATAATACAATATGAAAATAAAATAAATACTTTACAATGAATTATCTAGAAAGGTATTAGAAAAGATCAGGAATACGATACATACATCCAGTATAAAAAAACCCCTTAAGATGTGTGAAAACCTTAATAGAGCGAGATTAATAATATGAAATATATTTTATAAATAATAGCTCATTATAAAGAGGATAAATTGCTGAGCATTTCCCTCGCTTACAGTATGCAGGTCCGATTTTAAATTTCTGAGATATTTTAATCCATATCTTCAATAAAACTCGTTATCATTAGGTTTTTAACACTACTTTTTCCTTTTCGCCTCTCTAATAAGGCGTTGCGTTAATATACGATTTTGAATAATAGCTTGTTAAGGAATCAATGAAAAGTGATATTTATTTTATAAATATTTAATAGTTTCACATATTTTTGAAATATGCATATCCGTAAATATATTATTACAGTAAGGCTCGAAATCGGTTTTGTACCAAATATAAGTTCCTGTCATGCTCAAATACCTTGAATGGGGTACCGTTGGATTCAGAATTTCACGGGTGTTAGCGAATCGTATTCTCCGTTTTTGTTTTTCTTTCTAAAATAAATAAAGTCGATACAAACATTTTGCTAGACTTCAATACCTGAACAGTGGTAGGTCTGTAGATCGATGCGGGACAAATTGGACCTCGAAGATTTTGTTGCGTACAGCAAGAACCCGATAGTTCCTCCGGAACTATAGGATCCTGTGTTTTTAAGCCCAAAAACGTACCATTTTCGAGATAACGCAAGGCATAGGGTTCGCATCCACACAACCTTACATTAATTGTAGTACTGTCATTGAATACATGTATCATTTCGTCGACTTCAGGGTCTCTATGATCGAGAGAGGGGGAGTTTATATTATTCATCGATGGTGTTTTTGATCGGTAAGCCATATCAACGTTAATTTTTCACCAAATCTCAAAATTGAGTCACCAATTTCGAAGGCTTCCTTCTCCTTCAGGCGGACAAAATAGTCCAATCACCCCGAAAATTCAGGCAAACAAGTTATGAAAAAAAATAAACTTTATTTGCGAATAACTAAAAAATTACACACTTTTCCCTTGGTCATTCCCATGATTTTATAAAACGTTACTAATTTTCTACAAAAGGATAAAAAATCATTGAAATTGGACAATTTTTCGCAAAGATGCAGCTTATTGAAATTTGTAAATATGTTTGTTCCAAACAAAAATGAAGATTTAAATTAAATTTGTTTCCTTTGTGGATTATATTTATGGATAAAGTAACAATTGATTTCTTTATCTTTTGATACGTTGCATTATTTTAAATGATGTGCGAATTTATCGCACGGGCCTACTAGTGTGAATTATTGTTATTATAAGAAATCTTAAAGTCAAAAGGTCTAAAATCTGTGTGTAAAGTTTATAGTAAAATAAAAGTGAGTTTATTTCAAATACAGAGTACTCAACTTTATTCTATTTCGAACCTAGGGATCAGATATAAAGGATAGTTATATATTGACCCCTAACCCGAACATAGCTCATTAAAAAGGGCATGAAATGATGAATATTTCTCTGCAGTATGCAAGTTTAATTTTTAGTTTTTCAGATATTTTAACCCATATGCAAAAATATTTCAATTAGTCGACTTTACCAGAGCATTACATCATCCGAGATCTGACGACTCAATCTAATTCAGTCTCCACAAAAAAAAGTGCAAAACGTGTCTAAAGAAGTTTTCACTTAAAAAAAGAAAAAAAATGTTGTATACAGCGTGTCATGCAAGTGGTCGGAAATATAAAGAGGTGATAGCAGATCTCAAGAGCTACTAAAAACTTCAAATAAACCAGGGTTCGATTCTGCATAACAACAGGAAATTTAAGTTTACAATTTTTTTTTCAAGAAACGCCAGGTTTTAGGAAAAGCATTTTTTTTAAATATATTATTTTTTTATAAATAAAAATTGTTACATCCCAGGGCACAGGAAAAAAAAAATTAAAGTTCTGTAATAAGTTATTGTTAAAGTAATTACTTTTGCCGAGAACGCAGGTATTGTGGCGTGACAAATTGTCAAGTTAACGTAATATTTTTATAAAAACTAGAGCTGAATCTCAACTTATTTTATAATAAACTTTAACTTTACTCATACGGATATATAGATTATTAAATAAGGAAGTTTTTTTAGTAGTTTAGTAACTACAGTATAGTTGAAAGGTGAAAAAAAAAAACAGGGAATAACTCATATAATGAAAAAAAACTCTGCCTATAGTCCGTGGTACAGACCCCTTTTTATCAAATTATTAACATCCGTCTAAAATTTGATCAATGGGTCATTTTATCGTAGCCTACAACTTTTATACGTGGGAAAATGCTCCGAAATGGGGCGTTCCCTCATTAAATTAATTTAATCGATGAGGTACTTAGTAAGTATGAATAACCATTAGCTTTTAGAATCGTAACATGATCTGATAATAAAATCGAGGAAAAAGGTGGCCTATAAAATTATTGGGCCGTTTGGCCTATTTAATCTCCTTATTTTGACATGTTGGGAATGGACATCACGTCAAAGAGCCCAATATTTTTGTAGGCCACCTTTGTATTACTGTGAACCAGGTGTTAACGATTTTTTGGTACCTAATTAGTTAGAAATATTTTGCCGATGTCCAAATTGATAACGCCAAGATTCTGAGAATTTTCTTAAATATATTACCTTTTTAGCCTCCTCGTGATGTTGTTAGACATATTATCAGTGGCCATTCTTACTAAAAGCTAATTGTTATGTCATGTAAATTGTCATGAAATTTTTTGTGAGTCTGTATGTATTTGCTAACTTTGGTCATTCTAAGGTCAGTGTGTAACGTTGCGTTTGAAACGTATCGAGATGTTTGTGTAATAAATCTAAACATTTTGGATTGAAATGTTTGTACCTGAATTTTTTTAGCAGAACCGAAAATTTGAGAAGCCTAAGACCAAATCGGTTTTAGTAAGTATGTGTACGCAACCAAGTTCGAGTTGAATTTGAAGGAAATATTTTCCAGTTTACTATGATGAAGGAATTGTAAATTAATTAAATTATTTTTTTTTTAGTTACCGGTTTCTGTTCAACATAAATAAAAAAAAAACACAAATGAATTTTGAAACTCGTTTCTTCATATACATGAGTTTCACATGCAAATATATGTGAAAAAGACAAGAAGTAACCAGATCTAAATGCAAAGTAGAATGTGTCAAAGTTTCTCTTCTTCCACCTTTACACGTTTCCATTAAAACTCTTGTCTCGCTTTTTAATGAAACAAGTTTGGCGATGGGTAACCTCCCCTCTCTGTCTTCTTAATTACAATTTGAGGACTTCCTTTCGCTTCCGAACCCAAAGGATATCTTCACCGAATTTAGCACACCTATACCTGGCGAAAAATATATTAACATTATATATCCTTTCTCTTAAAATTTGCCCACAGGTCAAAACTTAAAAAAAAATTATATTCCTTTTTATTATCTGTACGTTTCAAGGATGGCTAGTCCCCTCTTAAGTTTATAGAGTGCCTGAGTTAAAGCTATAATTTAAGCAACTATGGAAGAAACATCTTATTTATTATAGTTACCAAATAGGATTATCTATTAATTCTGAGAGACGTGTGTTTATAATTAAATCAAAGAATAAAATATTTTTACTTTCATAATAATAATTATTATTATTATTTATTTTATTTTATGCAATTTGCACCTGCGCAGCTGCGCATCTAGCAAATTTGTTGTATTTTTATTGTCTTGGTGTAATTGCTTGATTTTTTTTTTTTTTTTTTTATTGATGTAGTAGGTTTCTTGGCCATTTTCTTCTTAATCTTCGTTGCTCAGGTAACAGGGAGCAGGAGATAGAAAGAACCAGAGGATTGGAGTGATTTTGGGTTGAAAAATGAAATGTAGCGTATTTGTCGTGGATGTAGGATTTTACTGTTGGGGTGTTTAAGTCGTTATGTATAGTAGTGTTTCAAATGTACCAAGGTGCGTTAACAATTTTTCGTAAAATTTTTGATTGTGCTGTTTGTATTTTGTTTATGTGTGTTTGTTTTGCCGAACCCCAAAGTTCTGCTCCATATGTCCATATTGGTCTCAGTAAGGTGTTGTAGATAAGTCGCTTGTTTCGTAAGTTAAGTGAAGATCTGTAGTCCAGAAGATGTGAAAGTTGGCTATATCGTCTAGTAACTTCTTGTCTTTTTAATTTCGTATGTATGTTCCAAGTAAGTGTTTTGTCTAAGTAGAGTCCAAGGTACCGTACATAGTTCTTTGAAGGCACTGGATTATTGGCAATCGTTATGGGTGGACATGAGGCTTTCCTAAGAGAGAAACTAACGTGGGTGGATTTATTACTATTTATTTTGATTTTCCAGTTTTCAAACCACTTTTAAAGTTCATGAAGATGGTTTTGTAGGGCAATTGATGCGATAGTAGGATTTTTGTGTGAAGTTAGAATAGCAGTGTCGTCAGCGAAGCAATAAATGGTGGTATTAGGGTGCTGAGGGATCTCAGAAGTGTGTATAGAATAGAGGATTTGGCTTAAGACGCTACTTTGTGGTACACCTTTGTGTTGGGGAAAGATGGAAGATACAGAAGAGTCTACGGAAGAACAGAAAAATCTATTAAGAAAGTAGGATTGAAGAATTAAAAAATAAGTGGAAGGTAAGTGCGGTTTTAGTTTCCATAATAGGCCCTTGTGCCAGACACTGTAATAATAATAATCTCATTTTAACTAAACTAGAAACTATTGGGTGTTTTAAGATTCTAGACAAAATTTTCCGACAAAAAAGTTCATTAGATACAGGGGATAATTCTGAATGGAAAATGAGTTATTACTAATTTTGATATAGAGATGGTTGACCGTTGATATAATATGGGAAGGAGTTAGTCGAGGGTGCGATCAAATAAATACTTAATTAAAATATAGAAATTATTTTATTTTAATTTGACCCACTTTGCATGTCGTCTTCAGGGCTACAAAAGATA